TTCTAGAGACCGTTACGAACGCTACTTGAATTTTAGTGTCTCGGATAAAGAGATTTGGCATTTTTTAAGAAGGTTTTTGAAGTGAATTTTCTCGGAATTTAATCGGAAGTGTCGTTACATATTTGACAAATAAATATATTGTTCGCGAAACTAAGTTTGCTTAAAAGTTTTCACAAATAAAGTTAACACTTATTTCCTACGTTTTGCCTATTTTCCCTGCTGTTTAAGTGATTAAGCGCGTATTATTATCTCATTATTATTATGGCTTATCTATTGCTGCCACAACTGTCTGCTGCTATCTAAGCATTATTTGTTTGTACTTGTCAATAGTAACACGTCTGTAAAGGGCAATGCTGTATGTTTGACTATAAAATTTATCCAAATTAGCGCCGCTGTTCAATCTTAGTTACATATTTAGACGCGTCTACTACTAGAGATTACTGATAATTGATTTTCTATTCAAGCGGTGAACCAAACTCGGCGCTTGTAGATCAGCACAAATAAAGAAATAGTGTGTAGGAGCTCGAAATCGAGTACGGCTGTGATAGTTCGTTCAGTACCGAAGTTCCGTAAAGCAACTTCATCACGGTCGACAGTCTTGCTTACTTCACCCATTAAAACGTCGCTAAACTTCCAATCCGCTTTTGACCACCTTTTACAGAAGCTCGGCAAATGCTCCATATACAAAATTAGAACTTCTAAATCTGCAGCTATTTTTAGCATAGAAAGGAAACCAACAGGACCTATTCATACAAAAGCATCACTTCTACGTTTTTTTCACATACTAAAGATCAGATTTGTCAGACGAATGTACCAGAGCGAGTCGACATGTTTATATAAAAGAGTGATCCAAGATACTTTATGTTGTAGTGCATCAGTTTTTCGCAAACGTTGTATACCGGCATATTTAGCAATGCGCTCCTTGTGGAGTCAATAAAATGGGGGAAGTTCTCAGCAAAACGAAATCAATCAAACATAGGTGCAAGGCCGCGCCCATTCCTGCACTCCCACCCGATAGCACAGCGACTTCGACGCTCAAGTAAATTTTCGTATGATTTAAAAAACTCCAAGCAACGGCTCTTTGTTCATTAATGGAGTCAGTACAACGCCCCGGTTCCACCATAGCTAGAACTAATGCCCCTCCCACATCTATACCACGGTAGATTTCCAACATGTCGACTTGGCTTTCTCCAACAGCTTGGCCATCTTGCAGATACGAAAAAAGATCACAGATACTTGCTTTAATAGAGCGCGTAGCTACTCAAGGAACGAACTGCTAGATGGGCTAGATCAGTCCGTGATAGCTTCTCAACTACTTTGTGTCTTCCTCTGTAGACATGATGATTTGACGCCGTTATTATATTTGCATACGGCCTAAAGGCGTCACGTTGGCCCCACTTAACAATCGATCCCGCGCGACATCTACTTTTCGCGGCGCAGCTGTCCCAGTTCGTTTTACTTTGATTGAATGAACAAGCAAAAATCAATTAATTATCTGGATCAATCTAGTTCACGATGATGATCAAAATGAGAAGCTTTCCGTAGTGTGCACCTACGTTCGCCTATGCATACGTTAGTGAATAGTACGTTAACGCCATAAATGCTCTCCGATCGTGGGTAAAATTCGAGTGTGTCGAACGCGTTCTACAAAAGAACAATCCACATCGTGCATAGATCATAAGATATTGAGTCATTGTCAATATAAGAAGGTATGGATAAAATATTCAATCAAGGAGACATATAAAATGAACCTCTCGTGAATATAAAGGAACATGAGATTTCCTAAATACCGCGTAGCACTTTCGTATGCTTAGTTTTGGTACACAATGAATGCTAGTTCGTGAACAATATCTTCCAGTAAATATGATTTAGTCGAACAATTTTGGTTTATGACAATATGAATTAAAATAAGCCCTATTATTGGCTTTAATTTTTAGTAGTAGTATCGATTAAGAGATATCAAGTGTGGTTTTTTGAATATAATAAAAAATATGTTTTGATGGTTTTTGTTCAGATCGGACTGTCATCGTAGCTCTGAACTGACCTATACATTCTAAGTCATCACTGGCGTGATAAAAATATGATATCGAGCTTCTAATCCGTATTAGGTTTGTGTCAGATTTGCTGAAACGGCTAAGCCGAACCTGGAATAAAAGCTGGAAGTGTAAAATCGGCTAGTATTTACACTGTCGGAATCCCACTATATTATTGCAGTCTATAAAACTTTACCGTTCTACATACAATATTATCTTATGTACTATGGGTCACGTTCAGACATCTGAATTTAAACCAAAGAAACTAAAAATGTCTAAATTTGGTAAAACGTCATATTGTGATTTGTGTGGAATTCACTGCAAACGCATTTTGCCATTGCAGTTTGTTCCTCTCCGTAGTATTTGTATTAAGAGATCTATTTATCTAGATACATCGTGTTACGATACGTTTGTTACATAACAAATTGTTTCACAACGAACATCCCTTGTACTTTGTCTATTTAAGATAATTATAATGGCGAGATCAAGCCATTTCCATACTTTCCTTGATCTCGACGGCACAATATGGACACATTCAGGCCAATTATTCTATGACGTATCATATATTTTACCATTAGTTTTCGAAGTATTTGCCTTTCGTCATCAGTCCGCCTTGGATGTTTCCCGCAGATGTGGATTTACTGCACATCTGTTGCACTTTTCACAACTGAAAAACAAGCTAAAAAATAATGATTCGGAAGGAATTATTAAACCATTGCGAGCGGTTTAACACTTATCTACTAATAATAACTTAGTCCCTAAATTCAATTTAGGTATATTGGTACATGGTCAGTAATAAAGACTATTTCGAATTTCGGTCAGCAGCCGTTATGAACTGTGTATGCTGTACCCATTCGGCCGTAAAACGCGGCGTATATGTATATATAGTAACGGATCAGAGTGCTTGTGCTGATGATACCTTAACTCAGATGCAACAGCCAAGTCTGCTGTTTACATTATGTGCATAGTTCATGAAAACATGAACGCTTGCCAGCTAAATAAATAGATGTGGTTATAACTGTGGTACGTCAACTTTTTGAGATAACTAACGTATGGCTGTGGTCGTGGAAATACCAGAACTATAAAAGGACTCGGCATGTTATTGTTCTTTAAGAGACACAAGGATGGGTCGGATTAGACAAAATGATTGTTTCTATATTGATGTACTCTAAAAAAATACTTGTAAAACAAAAACTTAACCGATAATCAATGAGCTGCTACTTACCATGTCTTTTCGTATTTAAATATAGATGATTGAGGACTGAGGACTTTGGCCTGAGTTTTAAGATGTGTCTGGCAAAAACGTGTTCTAATAAAACAGCTAACATCCTCGTGATTTATTTATTTCTTGAATAATTTTAATTTAATGTCTTGTAACAATGCTAGCAATTATAACTCACAGTTATAAATTTAATATTACGCGCACCTGACAAGTACTTTCTGATTATAATGATTATAATTGATTTGACACCATTATGAGAGAAATCGATTTTTACACCTGACTTCGTTTGATCTGTCAAGAACTTCGGTATCATCGCTGACGTACAAGTTAAGACCCGCCAATACAGCCGCAACGACGTTTACGATAGTAGAGAGTGTAATGAAATTCATGACTATTAAATATGGCTGCGTAGCAACCCGAAATTAAGGAAATATTTTTAAACACATCATTCGGTCCCATTTGAGGACTGAACCCGACACCTTCTTATTATGGGTCTACATACTTTGGCATCTGCTACAGCAGTTGACAAAATTTTTAGCGCATGACCCGAAATGCACAATTGCATTTCGCACAATGGAATGATTTCTCTGAATTTTTGGGATATCTACGTGTCATATATTTCAGCACAAACATTTCTAACAAAAACAACCCAAGTAACACAGGACTACTTCACGATTACCAGCTATTCCTCAGTTTTCAACGACCTGGCCAAAAATTTCCATTCTTTCCAGGGATCGCGGACAATACCCCCAGACAATGAGATGTATATAATCTTTGGCTACGGTTTGAATGCAAAGTGATTGTTTTCTTGCTCTCTACTATAAACAACTTAGGAGAATAACGGAATTCTCGCATGACTTATCGTGTAAGTATGTTCTTAACAAATAGTCTCGTTAAATTAAAACTCGTATAATTGAATCTTCGTAGTCACCAGGAGCCCCCAGAGCGTGGTGACTGCAAGAAAGCGATTGAGTAGAATGATGTTCAAGTGCACAGGCTTGCATGCGATTGAATATAAAGGAAATAAATCCGCAGTTACCTTTTATGAATCCAGGGCGTCATGAACGATGCTAATTTTTGGAAACAGCTTTGAACACGGAAAAATGCATTTGCACGCACCAAACGTATGAAGAGGTTTATATTATCTAATGAATAGGTAAATATCCTTTAGTGTAGGAACATATCGAAGTGGGTCGGTTTGGATGCTTAACGACGTGCGAAAGTAAAGGCTCAAAACATTTGTTGGGACGGACTTGCGTTTCGGAAATGCTCATTGCAGTATAACTGAAACTGGAAAACCGGCATAGAACAGCAAATAAAACCTACATATATATATACATAACTATATATATGTAGTCCTTGTCCTCCTCGAAACAGTTATGGCTTACATCAATAATGCCATTGAGGCTAGCAATCTTTTCCACAAATAGTTCCGTCGAAGTAGGCCATAAAAAAATTTCTCTGTCTGAAAAATCAATTAAGAAGCGCGCCCTGTGTTTTTAACTTGGATCCTAGGGGTCACCAGTATAATTTATCAGAATATACTTCTTTACACAATGTCTACGATTTAGTTCCAACTTATTGAATTTAGTCTTCATTGTGATTACTGCAAAGCTCAGAGAGAATATTAAAGGTCCCGAAAAGGTAAAGAAAGTAATTCATAATACCTATGATTACTATAATTTTCTTGGATCACAAAGAGAATTGAATTGAAGACATCAAGCAGCATTGGCGCAGTACTTTTGTCCACTTCGAATGCATTTATTTTTGTTTACAAAACTACATTAGTTTACAAACAGTTTGTTGTTGTTTCTTATCGCTTCTAGATATACGTTTATTGTTCCCCCAGCTTCAGTAGTCCCCATACATTCACTTTACCATATCGATATTATTCATCTTTGTCCTGTTTATCATGCATTAATCATCTCATATGCATCCTAGCACACAATTCCCTCAAAATTATTGAAAATGATTTCACTCTTTATCTAATCAAAGAATGAAACAATGTCAAAAAACAGTAAAATAGTTGTTAAAAGTTCAACAGAATCAAAGCAGACGGACAATGCGGAGCTATGGGCAAAATCTGAGGTGAGTACGACACATGCGCCGTTTGAAGGTACTTTGTATTTTACTTAGTAATTTCTTATCATCTTATGATGAAACTGTTCGTAATGTATGTGATGTACGTGAAAGCCGACTACTCATCTCACTTTTCTATGTTATTGCTCGTACACTGATTTTTTGTCCTTAACTATCAGCAAGACGCAATAATGACTTCAATGAGATTTGAGAAGCGTTCCTGTGCTTTTGATACATATAATAGTATTTACTATTTGCTCAGGCTTAATTTCAATTGCAGTATATTGATGACGGATTAATGCTAGTTGAATGCCCCTAGCTTGAAGATCTCAGATTTGATGTTCTATCGTTGTTGCACTACTATTCCTCACCGCCATCGACAATATTGTACATCTCATTTTAATTCAGTATATTTCCCAATTGTAATCAAGATCCACTTACAATTTTTGATTGTTATATTAATAAAAACATTATTTTTAATAATTCTATACATTCTTATACATTAGATCGGTTTTCGGTAACATCTTGAAGTCGACCCCTTCTGTTACTCTGTTTGTAATTTGGCGCCATTCACGAAGTGTCCGTCTGTTGGTTTTTACTCAAACCATTATTCTTGTTGACCTTACCTCTAGGGTTCACTATTTTTGTCTATCATACGCAGTGCTCTATAATCCCACCCCCTTTCTATCAATTTTTTAGAAACTCCATTTGTCCTTAGTTTGCTATTCAGTAATAATCAGATATTGAGCGAGGTTGTGGTTTCAGTGTCCCTCCAGTACTGTCCTTAACAGACCCAACGCACACGGTCAAACGGATACGCCCAAATACGATCCATCTTCACATCAACCCTACGCATTACCTAAATCGTCCTTAACTTATACAGACATGACAGATGATCGGGCCTAAAACGAACGTTTAGAAATGCTTCTTCCACTCGAATAACTACGCACGTATACGCATCCACTTGTCGAAAATTCGGCCATTTGTAGCCAGGGGATGATGCGCCGGCAGAGCGGACGGCGGCAGCGGCGTGTTTCGCCTGCACACAAACAAAACAAAGTTCGGGCAGTCCCGAACTTATCGTTGCTTTTCAATCACTATTACAATAACGCCCATTCGCACTTATTAACTCAGCTATACAAACAAGCACACGTGCAAAAAAATTATGTAGAGTAGGGTTACGTGTGAAATACGGAGTGACAGATGGTGATTCGTTTTAAGTTGTGTTTCAGAAGTATGCATACTAGATAAGCAAAGACAACAATTACTATTATAAGCGACGCGTATATATCACGTATCATTCCCAATCAATCATCTGCTATAATGGTTTTCAGCCTGAAAAACACGCACGGATACAGAAAGTTCTGCGTGACAGGGCACGTGGCCGTACTTGTGGGAGGTGCATTGAGAAAGGGAAAATAAAAAACAGTCTGAAAGAGTATGGTGCTTCTGTTCGCTGACTCATTAGTGATTCACAATCAAGTTGACGTTTGTGCCTTACCGACAATAAAGAAATATGAATATCGAAGTGTGGATATATCGAAAGGTTCTACTAAAGCCTTTAAAGCAACGGGCTTTAGTCAGTGTTCGTTTGTGCGAAGTCGACATTTCATTGTTCCGCGCTATGTCTCTCTTAAGGTCCATCTTTGTTTCCTCTCCTTTATCATCTATCTATTCAATAAATCTAATTGCTATGTGTAGATATATAGATTTCTATATCACTTACAGCATTAGCAAACGTTGGCCAAGCCTCGCTTAAGAGCTGTGGTAAGCGGCCTGTGCTTCCGACTGTCCTGAATTTCTCGATACGCACCTCACTAGACACTCGCCCGTCCTACCTAGAAATTTTCAAACAGTATCCCAAAAATCGTTGGTCTCCATGCTACGTCTCGATCAGACTAAAAAACATTTTTACGTGCTTTACGTCCGCTGCTGAAGCCGTTAAGCATTATTTCAAACGGCTAACTGAACGCTTCCAGCATGAAACGAAGTGTCAACGATTCGAACCACGACCACCACGCGTCGCTAAGTCAGCACTGCAGCCACTGAAACATTTGTCATTTTGAATTGTCGTTCTTGTCGCCATTGTCTGTTTTCTTGTCCCGCCATTTTAGCAAGTATTTACGGTAACGATCTCTTTGTAGCATAGCTGTGCGTACCGTGGTGACGAATGGCCCAACGGACAGCGCGATTGACTATTGAATAATACATTGTCGTTTATCTAGTGTGATGACTTTGAACCGTAATACGTAATTTAGTTATTTTGCTCTTGCTTGATATATATGTTTATCTATTTTAAAAGTAATTATACCCATCTGACTCCTTGGTCTTCGCTTAGCCATCACTTCATTAATTATAATCATTTCATCATTATGATCATCGTAGGCTCATCAGTAATAACGTTAAATTTTTCATTATTTATTCTTAATTATTATTATTGCCTAGCTTAACTAATTATTCATTAATTATCAATACAAATATACAAGATGATTTTGCCTAGTCGTCACGTTTCGTTCCTTTACACAATTGACAATCCGTTAAATAACGAGAATAATAATTATTATTATCGCTAATTAAGATTAATATTATGCCCAGTGAAGCCCTGATCTGCTCGTGTTGTTTGTCATTCTGGTTTTCCGTCCTGCCATTTGAATTCTGCTGAAAACTGTGGTAGCATTAGTACCGGCTTCCGGTATCTATCGAGTCCCATTATCAGATTTTCATCAGATTGTTTATTTCTTCTCCATTACGATTTGGTCACCACGGCAGAAATTTGATTTACTCATTGATATCCAAGCGCGATGTAATAACATGTTCGGTACTGTGATTAGCGTTTCTCATTTAAGAAGTCTTTGACTATTTTCAAGAAACTAAATAATCGTTAAAAAGCAAAGAGTGGCCATAGTTGCGCTTGCAATGATTAAACCTGCAAAATCAATCAAAATTGAATCAGTCTACAAAGTCGCTATTGTAGAGGCATGAGCGTACCTAATGTTTTACCCTCGTTCATAACCTCTACTACAGATATGTATTTGTAAAAATTCGAATGAATTATGATTTAGGCAACTCAATTGAACGTTACTTTCTTATTGTCATGGCATACTGCATTACTACTACTCTATAATGTTTGCCTAAAAGGTACACTCATCATACATTCAAGCCAGTAATACCAATTTAATGTGGTATGAACCAGTCGACAAATTAATCGCCTATCATTTAAAAGTGTTTGCTCATTTCTTTTGCTGAACAGAGAACATTAATGAATTTAATGGATACATTAGGTCAAGCTCCCTTGCCAAAACTCTTAGATACGTTTTTTCGTAGAGGTTCGCAGTTAAATACGCTAGCCACAGTGAGTTTATCCCGAGCCGCTCATCAATGCAATTGTCATTTAACGGCACAGTCAGTCCTAAGCCCCACCGTGCGCTCTTCCTCTCACTTCCCGTCTTTTTCGTTCCCTCATAGTCATTACGTGTTTAAGGTGTCTTTTATTAACCAGCAGCTTCCGCCAGCGACTGCTCGCCTTCCTTCCCTGTCTGGTCCAGCCCGAGAGATCAGTCGTGAGGCATCGGCCGCCATTTTCCCTACGTGTTTCGCCAAGACAGCAGGGCAGTGTCTGAGCTTTATAGTACGGACACACCATGATCAGCATCTCTCTGTTCATAATAATTATCGTCATAGTTATCAATACCGTCCTCATCCAACTCAACGAGTCAGGACTACTTACATGCGCTCACCCATTATCATATATACACGACAAGGACAAAACTAGTGCCGACCACGACAAATACCGCAGTGGTCTTCTTCTACTGGCCACTCTCAATGAGGCCATCAAAAATTTAACTACTAACTATAAATTTATAGTAATTGGGGGCACTCGCGGGTACATGCTCGCACATTTCCGACGGGAGCATTTGCTGTCGATCAGCGACGCATCCGACGCAGGTCAACAAGCATCTTCGCGAGCACAATCTGCACTCATAGAGCACCCGGTGCAAAATTCGCTACAAATATACACTCACTTTCTTTTGCTTTGTGTTACAGATACAAGGGATACGCACGCATGGTGGATGCTTGATCGACATAACGACAGACAGATAGGTTTACGGATAATATCGCCATGAATTATCAATGTCATTAATTAATGATATTTTATCGTCATCATAATCATCTGTCGCCGGCGCGTTTAGTTCGCGTCATTGTCGCTGTCTTCGTTTCTCTAATATTTATGGACCTCATCGATGCCTTCTTCTTTCTTACTATTATTTTTGTTGCCAGTAGTAGTCACATGTTAACAAAACATCCGACCCAGTCAGTAGATTACAACACTACTACTCCGATCTTCCAACCTGCTTTGCCACAACATCTTTATATACTCTTTCTTCGTTTTGACAACCCGACATTTCTCTCTACCTCGCCGCCGGCGTCTTTTTGATCAGTGAACTGAGCCTGGCTTTTTTACGGGGTAGGACTTGCGCTTCTTGCAGCTCGCTGACTCTGCAGATGTCGTTGGATGGCGGCTAGCTGTAGCGACGTGGCATGATGCGCGGTGCCAACTGCCGCACTCAAGATTTGCATTGCGGAACGGTTGTCACGAACAAGTCCTCCTGCAGGCACAGTTTGATGGGTGGTCTGGCCTGTGGTGACTACTTGTGGGACGCCGGCAGTCTGAAGGACAATCGATTGCGGCGGTTTAGCCAGCCCAGCTGTGTGCTGCCCCAACAATGGGGTGACACCGACCAAACGGCCGGTGCTAAGACCCACAACCTGTTGAACCTGTTGGGGTTGGAGAACCACCTGTGGGTGGGCGTTCTTCACGCTTACATGCCCGCTCATCGTGCCCATTTGCAATACCGTCTGACCGACGACAACACCGGCTCCACTAGCCGGTGATCCGTGACCTGGAGCTGCTGCGCCTGCCACACCGGATGCAGCTGCCAACGTCCCAACAGCGATCGGCGTCGTTTGGCCTGCTTGTCCACCAACTTTTTGTGCTTGAGAAAATTGCTGATTTATCTGTTCGACAATGTTCTGGATCTGGCCTGCGTTCGCCACCTGACCCGCTTGCAATACGACCTGCGTTGTTTTTGTTCCTCCGCCGGTCGCTCCCTTATTCCTCATTTGTGCGACTACTTGGTCGGCAATGCTTTGCGTTGTCTGGGGACTCATCGTGGTGCCAGACGCTGTTAGCTGCACCTTGGTAACCTGCGGTGCGACGCCGTGACCTGCCCCCGTAACGGTGGCATGGTGTGAGATCATCTGGCCGCCACTACCTTTCACACCAGCTGTAACCAATTGCATTTGTTTGGCCGTACCGCCCTGAAACATCTGAGTGGTCTTGCCAGCCATCGACACGGCGACGGGCTGAGTGAGCTGTAATGCAATTTGCGAGCCCTGCGACCCCGTCATCTGCTGGAGAACTTTGCCACCAACCTGGAGCGGCTTCATCTCGCCCAACTGGTGAACCTGTATGCTCTGAAGGCCCTGTACGCCGCCTGCCGAGGTCATATTCATTGATGACGCATTGACTACGACAGGCTGCCCGCCAGCCTGGAGTATCACTTGTGGCTTACCGCTATGTGCGGTTCCTTGTATATTCTTCTTTACCAGTTGCACAACGGCCTGTGGTTTGCTTGTGTTTAGTTGAACAGTGTTGCCCAGTTGCCCCGTAAGTGCGGGTGCCGACGCTGACGGTGTGGGAGAGGGAGATAGAAATGAGGCTGCAGACGCAGAGCTTCCCTGAGCACTGGGAGGTACGCTGAGCTTCTGCACGAGGATGGGCGTCGACGTACGTGACGGCGTCGGCGGTCCGGGAGAAGGAATGGGAGCAACCGCCGGTGTTGGGGGCTGTTGTGCGGGTGTCACGCAGCGACCTGTCGCCGCTTGTTGTTGGGTTGCGGCAGCAGCAGCCGCTACAGCAGCTGTTGTTCCGCCAACTGAACCAGCAAACTGTTGTTGTTGTTGTTGGGCGTTCACCTGTAGGAAGCCTCCCGTGTGCCGAACAACTGGGGCTTTTCCCGGCACCAGATGCGTAATTTTGACGGCTTTTCGGCCCTCCTCGGTGAAGATATCACGGAACTGATTAAGGTAGAGGTGAACGTTGCACAACGATCCCAGCCGAAATGTGCATTGCGACCGAGTTTCACCAGACTGTGTTGCCAGCACCCCATAGTACTGTTCATCGACAGGCGCTTGCAGGATCGATACTTTCGTCACCCGATCACTGGGACTCGCCTGCGTCGGTGTCGTTTCCATGATGTACTCTTGAACCAAGCGCATTGACAGATCGGAAGGGATTTCCGGCCGAGGAATAATCTTGGCAAATTTAGGTACGTCAATTTGCGCCGGGACTAGCGCATCCGGTGCTTCGTGCTTAACTCGGCTCGGCGGCGGTTTAGCCTTTTTCTTACGCCGCTCTTCCAACCTGGTAACAAAGTCGAATAAAGGCGGATGTTTCGTAGGGTGTCTCTTGCGTTTCGGCTGAATTAAGCCGGTCATGAGTTTCTGCTTGTATTGAAAATAGTTGTCGACGAGCGCTACCGATATATCCGGCTCTAGACAGATCGGCTCTGCCGTCGCCATCACGACTTGTGCCTCCAATTGCAGCTGTTCCTCAGGCGACCATCCACCAGCCATCTGCTGGACATCGCTAGCCACGAGCAGATTACTTGGCTGCAATAGCGTATACTGAATGTTCGTCGGTGTCTGTAGGTGATTATGTACACTTAGCGGCAAACTACCGCTATGGAACAGCTGCGAATGCCCTAGTGAATCGAGTAGCTGCGCTAGCACTGGAGGTAGAAGGCCCTGTTCAACTTGCTGTAGAAGATCATCCTCGTACGGACTACGTTCCGCGCCGACCGCTCGGCCGGGAAGACAGAGCGTGTAGCCATCTGGGAAGAGGTGCAATTCTAACAGCTGAAGACGGTCTCGCTGTACGAGCTTCTCAAGTAAATGAGTTCCCGGGGAAAGAAGACGCGACCGGCTTTGCAGTCGCTTCAACTCGGTCTGATAGAGTTCGGACAGCTGCATCGACAGATGACTCCGTTGTGACGAACGTTCTTTCCAACGACTGGTGCTCCCATGTGAACTGTGCAGATCGCACAGCGCGCCTGCTAATCCACAGAACGGGCATGGGCGGTCCCGATCCTCCGCGCATATTCCGGAAGATGACGACATGGCCTAGAATAGAGAAACAGATTCGACAGGTACAGCAGCAAAACCAAAAAAATGTCAGAAATAGTTATTTTTATTGTTTGATACAAACTAGTGCACATTTTCAATGGGGAGTTTATTAAGCGCTGCATGTCAAATTTTTAACACACAATGCTATATGTTATTGTTTGGTAAATGTCACGACAGACGTTAGTAGTCGTATGTAAGTACAATTTTTAAGCACACAAAAACGTATTAGCATCAAAATGTTCTTTAGAACTTTGGATAGAAAAAGCCATGTTGTGGTGTAATGTCTTACGCATTCGTCTGTGGTTGCAAACGAGCGCAGTGAAAGAAAGCGAAATCCTGTATTTTTAAAATAAGCACATTAAAAAAAAAGATCGACCAAGACTGCTACAGCTAAAAAAGCGGCTGTCGTAAATCGGTTCATACAAATCGAATATACCCGCTTGATCTCAATACATATTAAGATCGCCTACTTTCAGAGTTACACTCGCATACTTATGACTATACCGAAAAATAACAGATTGCAAATTTGAACAACTAATTCAGGTAGTATCGTACTTAAAATTGAAGTAGTAAATTATTAACTATATTGATCACAATTCTTTTTTGCAAACCCATGTAACTGCACTAAGTTCCAGCGCTACAGTGCTCTTTTATCCTGTCGGATCTTGCCCGATGTCCCCCCCAAACCTTTACGAAATTAAGTCAAACACTGTCCCAAAGTATCCGCACGATCTACTGCCGATGATACAAATTAAGACACGTAATGTATATATAGTATAGAATTAGATACATCCGCACACATTCAGTTTTGGACGTTTACCGATAGTCAGATATACGTGTCATTTATTGCGATACTTACCATTAGCACTCCAAATATACAATAGTTAAAGCATTAAATGAAAAATATATTCAACTAGTTCCTATGTACTCACAATCAGTCAGTAATCTCCGATCTGCGATGGAAGCTAAATAGTGCTAATATACATATATATTAGGCAAAGCAGACTAAATGTTTTCTGCTCATGGGCGTTATTTGTAAGATCAACTATTGAAGCATTCACACAGAAGGCTGAAACTACACTCGTGCTGGAGTAGTTAGAAGAGTATTCTACACGTTTTACTTGAAATTAGTAAATGCATTTAAGTCGTCATTCTTTTTTTGCCTTGCAACTTCAATTCAGGCGATTATACGATCAACTGAGGACGTTGTGATTCATCGTTGATTGTTTGCTATTTCGGATAAAGTCAGCCGTTCGTCTTCCGGACGAAGCTTACTTGTTGTAAGCTCAAATCCCTGTAGCTATCGACAAGAGTCAATCACTCGATTAACAGGCGTCATGATCACGTCTGCATAAATCTATGAATGACGCCTGCAAAGATCGACTATGTATAACAGTATATAAGTATAATTTGGCGGACACCCCTTGCCAATTTCGGCGCAAGTAACTAACGTGACAATTTATTTAAGAATCTCAAAGTTGGCCTTTTCTGGTTTAAATCACCATATTAAATTCGCTTACCTAAATAATAACTGCATACTATTATAACTTAAAATCGATTAAGTTATATGCATATAGGCGCTTCCCACCTATCCGTTTGGAATAGATATGTAGTAACGGGATCACAGAATCATTCGACGTTCTATTTTTAATCAAATTTGCTCTATAGCAAACATAGCAACTTAGATTACATTGACGTCGTTAGATAACCGTCGATTCCGCCTAGCTGAGCGATTTCGTCAATAGAGAAGACGATCCCATCTGCTAGAGTATCCTATTCTGCAAGTTAATTCCTTGTTGTTTACGGTGACTTTCGTTTCGGTTTCGTGAACAAAAATAGAAAACCGGCCTACAGACGGATTGCATACTTCAAGAAATTTACGAAGCTGCAAGAAACTTTTCACTAAAGTATGAAAGCTCGACATAACTTATATTTCGAACGCTATGACAGGGTTTTTATCATGCAGATACTGCAAGTTAACTTTCTCATCGTTTTACGTGGCATAATGCTTACTCTGCGAGTCCTCTGACAACTTTTTCTAAGGTTAATGGTCTCAAGGGTGGTTTTGCGCACAATTATTTCACTTTTTCTATTCTGTAAATGTATGTCTGTATAGTGTATAATAAAAAAAGGAAAAAAACTATCGAAGAAAACGTATTTAAGAGGATATCAAATTGAAATCGCGCTGACCATTTGAGATATTCAGTGAGGTTCACAATCTGTAGCAGGCCCAGCGACTCCAACTATTTAGCGGAACTAAGGATTCAAGCAAGTTTAACTTGCAACTATATGTTTCCAACGAGAGAACTGCGAAGTAGTTGCCCAAAAGTGAGTGCAGTAACGACGATTGTAATAATCATCGCGACGAAACATTGTATATAAAACAAAATATGCATATGCCTTATAGAAAATTCACGCAAAAAGCTCATTGGGAGCGCACTGCGGCCACGCAAAAAGAATTTCAGTGATCACGTCAGCTTTTTTGGTTGTGGTTGCTAATTTTTTAACTGATTGAACCGGTACAAACTGTTGTTTTATTAAAGGCAAATTTACCCAAGGGTTCTACCAGCGTCCTCGTTTTTGAAAAAAATAACTTCAATCACTAAGCACCGTAAATCAGTGCACTTCAATCCTTCTACTTATTGTTCTCCCATCAAATCTAATAAGCTTATAATTTGGCGAAAATAGTTATTCAGTCAATTTGCTTATGAAACGAAATTCAATGAAAATGGCCTAACTAGTAAATGACGGAGCCATTCTCTAGGATAACGAGACTTACACCGCAGAAAGCTCAACATCTCCGTTAGTATCAGATAATTCTTAGTGAACTAGTCGAAAGCTAAACTAGTTGCTAAAACGTTAAGGTAGAAAAATATTGGTTTACCAATCTTTATCTTAAGTCTTTTCTAGTCAGCCCACAACGTGCGCCAAGTAACATATACTCTAATACATAATTCTGTTGAAATCCTACCTACAGTCACCTAGTGTTTTTATGTCCTAATACATGTGCAACTAGCTCTTGCTTGTTCGAGCTATCACAATTATCAAGCATACTAATACATGAAAATCCTGGCTCGTATTTCTTAAATTATGTTCAATACTTTTGTAAAAAAATATCAGCATAGCCATTGTTTTTTGAACAACGTTATCAACAACGACAATAAAGAGTTGCTTAGTACGCATGCTCACTACGAGTCTTTCCAGCAACCTTTCGCAAAAACTATTTTTTCAGGCGTGTCCGGTAACGGACTTGAAGCCAGAAATGTTTACTTTTTGAACGCGTCAGGAAAGAGTTCCCACAAAGTGACAAAGACCGTAAACTCCCCTTTTCTAGGTACTGCATGATATATAGCATAAAGAACAAGGGCTTCGTGTGCACAATTTGCCTAATTCATACATGTGCTCGGAGCAGAAATTTCCATTTAAGATTGGTTCCTGAACCAGCGTCACCTACTGCATTAGGAAATTGTTGGTATGTATTATACCTGGGTTTAAACCGGTTTAAATAGCTGCTCCAATTAGGACCTAGCATCAACTCTTTTATGATCATGTTATTCATAAATGACTGTCTGCTACGATACGAATCGTTTTTCACTATAAATAATTGTAATAAATAGACATGTAGACAGCTGCATACATACAATTTAATAGACAAACATAGTTCACGCTAACGACCAAATGGGTGCAAGTGCATATGGCTGTTATTGGTCTTGTGCGGTAACTGCATCCGATTTCCACTCGGGGAACTAACGATGATTCTGGACCCTTTTGATAGGAACCATTCAGGCAACAACCTTTATATAGCGGTCATTCATTATCAGCAGATGTGTGCACAACTGACAGGTATCTTTGGGCATGTACAATTTCGCATTGTGCATAGACCTCGCTCCCAGAAACACGCACGCATGCGCACACAGATCCATAAGCTAATAGTCAATGAGTTAGAGATTCAATGCCGCAGACTTTTTTCCGTTAGTAGTTCAATCCGTATTCTCTGCTAGATACGAGTTACATATTTAATGCATTGTCCTTTAGCTTTCTTTGTCGCAAGAATAACTGTTCACATGATATTTAAACAAATCCCTCTATGACTACAGGGGTAAGCCTTGAATACCGCGTTGACGCTACGCTGGTACGAGTTGTATTTCATAAGAAATTCGCTTGGAGGAAAAATCACTCGCAGAGTAAGAGACCAATAATTCCGTCGGCGCTGCTGTGGCCGGGGGAAATGGTATCAGTACCTAGTTAAGTGGGCACTAAGTTTTAGCAGGAACTTGGCCTTTTCGTGAGGCTGGCGCCCTGAAAGGACATCCAATTATTATTTGTATGGTGGACATGAAGGCTTTTGTAGACACCAGAAGCCGAGACTTTTATAGCTTACTCTTTAAAAACACTAGATCTTCAATCAGCATACTAGCAGCTCCGTCTCTGTCCGTACTTGTAAGAACACTCATTCGTATTTTCTTGTTTGACTGAGACAGCTTAATGCCTTAATGGGATCTTGCTAGTGGGGCCCAATGCTAAACATGTCATATGCAAGAAGTGTAATATAAAATAACAAGTTTCCACGAAAAACTTAGCAAACCACGAGATCTTTGTCAGCTGGAGAACAGAATCCGACATGTTTTGATTTATACGCTGACAACTCACTCACCTCATTGTAATGGCAAAGCAGTCTTACTCTAGCTGCATTAAAGAAGAAAAAAAAAGAGAGAGAAAACAACTTCATTAACGCACCATCGCAATTAAATGCCCTGCTTATTCGTTCACTAGAAGCAACCGTCTAAATTTTTGCGTGTAGTTATCGTCAACCAGCTCCAAGATGAAGACACTGACTGCCATTCGCCAACAGGCTTTCTTCTATAGTCTAAATATAACGCCAAATTGCCAAAACTTGCCAAGACTGGCAAGAAACAATGGAACGAAATCATTTTTCCTTCACGGTAGGTTCCCGGTCTGATAGATCTGAAAATGGGCCCCTTTACCATCGAACAGTTCCTGACCTTTAGGGAATTCCAATTATACAACCTGCAAGATCTACCATTCGACCTAGCAAATCAGTAGAACAAGTTACAACCAGCTGACGGATTGCGAGTATCGTCATCAACGATAAACGAAACATCAATCTACAAGTTACATAGTGTTTTTACCTTGACTGAGCTTGATTCAGATTTAGCACGAGCTTCCTATCTCGTCAATCCTTGATACGTTTAAATCGTGTTGATATTGAAAGGCAATCCGAACGAAATATCGTTAGACGTTTATCGCTCTACCTTTAACTAAAAGTAGAGCGATAAACGTCTAACAATATCGAAATTTCGGATTGAATTATTGTTGTTTTACGTGGGTATACGCTGTAATCTATTACTGTTGTGACGTTCGACCATCGTGGGTCGTAGATATATTTAATTCTAAATTGGAGTTCATGCAGTTGGTCATCTTTTCTAGTACTACCGTTAGCCCCGTATAGTAAATCTTCACTCGGTGAATCTTTGTAGGATTTTTAAACTGTTCCCTGTACATTTCAGAGGCCCTTCTCACTCGGGTGTGTCGGGCCTATGACCATGATATTTTGATTTTTTCTCCCGTTTTCACATTGTGTCTTCCGTTGAACGTAAGCACCACTCTACGAATGGGAACGTCCATTTTGTGTTCCCATAGTGGCAAAACACCAGAGCACAGTAATTGTACACATCTGACAGACATAAGTCTTCAATCATCGATACGGACATACGATGTCCATAAAATGTCCATCTTTCTGACTGAACAATCGTCATCATCTCAATCATCAACATCAGCTCATCTCTCGTTGGTGTCGTTTGTTTTGCTTCGATTTATTTGCTTTCATTCGACCTCGGTCTCAGTCTGAATTTGGTCAACTTACCGGCTGCACTCAGCCGCTATCCATCGTCGGTCCTGATCGAGTACGCACTGGCTATGGGTCCGCACGCACTGGCCGTCAGTCGTCGTCGTCGTCGCTGCTGCTGCCGCCGTCGATCGGGCTGTACGCGGCTCACGTGTCCCAGGATCTCACCGGAAGGTTCAACATTTTCATTGTTGTCACCGCGACCACTACCCCACCGCCAGCCTGCGCCAACTAGCCTACCGAGTAGGCAACGAGTGAACGACCTATTCGAACCGCTGCTTCTTCTTCCGTGGCTGCTGCAGATGTTGCTACTATCGCGGCCTGCCCTGCCGCTCCAGCATTACCATCAGCAGCAGCAGTACGAGTAGCACATTTCACATAACGCACGACACACACACACACACCCACCACACTCTGTACTACCGCTGCCCCGTCCGTCCCTCGTATTCGTCGCCGCCGAACACACAACACAAACAACACAGACAGACAGCAGCAGCAGCAGCAGCAGCACAACGACGGCGGCAGACACCACGACACTGCTGCTGCTGATTCACTTGCTTTACTTTTGCCGCTACTCTTCTTCTGCTCCTTAGCACAGCAGGCAGCGCTGCTGCTGCTGCTGCCAGCGGCAACAGCAATACGATCCAAACCGCACAGCACAAAATAACACCAGCAGTAGCAGCAGCACCGCCGACGACAACAACAATAACAACAACACCAGCAGCAGCAACAACAACAACAATGATTCAAGCAGGCAGCAGTAGGTCTCGCTCGGTTGGTCGTCGCCTGTCTGCGTCTTCGCGATCGCCAGCAGCCCTTCCGTCCGTGCAGCAGCAGCAGCAGTCGTCTTCGTTCGTTCCGTTGCCGCTCGTCGTTCCTCACTGGCCGCACTGCTTCTGCCGCAGAGGGCTGCCAGCTGGCTCAACCCATCCACTGCTACCAATACAACTCTGTATAGATCGCTGTATAGACTGTGATACTATAGACTGCTGTTAGCAGTGTGTGCTCGTGCTGCTGCTACGGCGGCCTACAGTCACAGCAGCGGATCTCTTTCATCTGCAGCCTCAGAGAATTTCTAAACGACGGAACGACACGGGACGGAGCAACAGCCGTCGTACTAGTAGCAGCAGCAGCATCAACACTCATAGAATCAAGTGCTGAACGAGTTTCGATCGCGCGCGGACGGTGGCGTCGGCTGATCGGTTGACGTCAGGACCAAGTCAACGACAACGGAAACAGCAACGGCCGCCTTTAAGAAAAGCAATAGCACCGCTGTTACGTATCTCTCAGCTCTAGCCTACCCGTGATAGCATAAAAATACTGTGTTTAGTTACTGTTTCGACCAGCGCGAAGAAGAGCCTCCTTCCAAACGTGTGTCACAAACACCAGTACAGTTATAGCAAACCGAAGAACATTATATACGATATATGCACAATGGCACAATTTTTACGGAAATTTGCCCCACAAGAAAGTTTTTGTTCAGTACGAAGCGAATGAGACAGAGTCAGAGAGACGACACATCTGGAAATTGTGTAAGGACGAAGCCCAAGTGCGCGCACCTCATAGCTTCCGCAGTAGTGTACAGGGGTAATCGCAGTAGTCGACACAAACCGCGTTTCGGTTAGCGTCGCTCGTATCGCGTCATGGTTCTTGATTTCCAGAGGGAAAAGCGGCTCGCTTTTCAGGGCCTGCTGCGCTTTCTACCGGCACAGTGTAGTTAAAGGCCATCCGGTCAACGAATGGCGAAATTGCGACAGCAGTGAATGTTTATATCGACAAATGGATCGAACGTTTGAGAAGCCAACACAGAATACATAGCCCATCAGACAGCCGACGACCTCACAGCCGTACACATAGACCACACAGACCGAAAATGAAGACTACAACTGAAGTTGTGTTGTGGTTCCTCTAAATCTTCCTCTAAGCAGAGCAATCTTCAGAACAATACTAACTAGTTTTTTTTGACTCCTGTCGTTGACAAGCCCGCGAACAAGATCAGGGGATCAGGTAGGTTGGATTGGACTTGTAGAAAAAACCTCTGGTAGCAGTTCCCGCTGTCACTTTCTGCGCTTGATAGTCAAGACGGAATATAGTACAATGGGACAGTTTGACACTGACCGGTCAGGTCAAGTCAGGTGATGTGTTTATGAATTAAAAATGTAAACAGAGAGATTATTAAGTAAAGAGTAAAAAATGTATGCTCAGACACTATCCAACTATATGGCTTAAAATGCTCTTTGAAGTTGAATTACATTTAGAGGAACCCAGTGCCTAGCACAGTAAACAAAAATCTAGTTGTGATCGACTCTATTAATTCAATGTAAGCGTGACTTGTCAACCTTGGCGTTTGTGATTATGGTCGGTATTTTTATATGGCAGAATCCATCCATTAATCATAAAGCGCGCTTCCAGCATTGCCACGCGGTTTTACAGACGAAGGTGATGTACACCCGTGGTGCTTTGTTCGCTCAGCATTCACGTTTAGATAACTACAAGATAGAAAAGAGATGAATAAGTTGATAAAAAATACGTTAGTTGCACGAAGTTCTGTATAGTGAAAAGCAAACGGTGTCCAATAGTAAGTCCGTAACATCTTTAGAAGCTAAGGTAGTTGTGGCGAAATTGAACTCGACTATCTGTGTAAAAAATATCTCTTCCATAACAAGTCTTTGTTACTAATGTAGCTTCTTTTGCTAAAATTACCTGTTGGGCTAATTCTGTCAGTAATTACAAAGTGTGAATCACCTGATGATACCCACCACCAAAGAGAAAAGCAGATTTTGATCAAGGTTAGAGAAACCATGCAAGGTTTTGTTCGACATTCGTCGCTGCTTTAACTTTATCAGATTTATTCAGTTGTAAGAGAAATTATTCTAAGAAGCTATTTTTGATCTTCGCACAGCTTTATAGCGTTTGCAACGTTTTATTAAAAATGAAAACCACCAACATTTTTTATGAGTATACTTACCTGTGGATGCGTCATAAAGTTAATTAACGCACCTGTTGCATCACCGCACATGTGTACCGTTTTCAAAATGTGTTTTCAGAAAAAGATGGGACGCTCTCGATCGCGTTCGCGCGAGAGGCGTCGCTCCCGGTCCCCACGCGACCGCCGACGGTCGCGTTCAAGGGATCGGAAAAGAAAGTCTCGGTCGCGTAGCAAAGATAAAGATAAGGACATTCGCGACAGGCGAAGGGATCGTTCAAGGGAACGCAAACGTTCGAGGTCCAGGAGTCGGGACAGGTAGGAACATGAAAATGAGTCAGTCGTTTAGCTGTAGTTAGCAATTAAGAACCTGGACCTACTGCCATTTAGCTAATGTGAAGATAACTGTAACTAAGTGCGGTGGCAAAAATGGATAAAGCGCTTTTGATACTACACGCCTATGTAGTGTGAATGGCATTAAATGTGCTTTAGTTTATTTTTTTAATTTTTGACTATGACATTACGTTATAATTCAAGCTTATATATATATATATACATCTTGATGATATATTCGGTAGAAGAAAAATATCAAAGTAAGTTAGTGCATCTTGTAGTCCGAAAATCAGGCTGGTCAACAAACGTATAATGTACGATAGCAGACGACAAAGGAGTCATCACTAAACTCACGTGCACAAAAAACAGTTGGACTTCGATGGCCATCGATGAAATAAATGAAGCCGAAGCTGGGTTACGTAAAGATCACGTATAGATAAGAGAAAGAACCCTCAAAATAGATATACTTACAAACGTGCTGTTCATTATCGTAAAGGAGCTCACGATACAGCACAATTAACAGCTCTCGCTTTACAACGTATTATTATGTTCGCGTTTATCAACAGTTTATAAGCAATTTTTTTCACATATGCAACCTTCAAGTCTGTGTTTTTAGTAAAGACTTGGAAAGAAAAGGAACCGAACAAAAACATCATGATGATAATCAATGAAGCAATATTGGTACTTGTAAAAGGAATAATTTTCAACCGAAAGTGTTTTTTTGTCGCACAGTTTTGTTCATTGAACGAAGCGAATCCACAAAAATACTCAAAACCAGTAAACGAATTTTGGCGATTACGCAGATAGGATCTATATACAACCACTTCACTCGCTTTGTGGGAGAAAATAGGCTCGCAACTGAGTAACAAGAAGAGCTTGTCTAAAGTAGAAACTATAAAAAGTTGGCCCGCTTTAATTGACACTGTTATTCACTAAGATCGAGAAGTGAGGCAGGGGGCACAATGATATGAACCAATTACTTTTCAATCGATTTTAGGGTTCACCAAATGATTACTATTATTTAGCTTCTTCGAAAAATAATGGTTATTTTTATTTGCGGCTCCGCGTTTCTAATTTTTCGTTTACTGTGGTTAAATTTTTAAATTGTTACAAAGCTCTACAAGGTCGTATTCAGTGCTTTCTTCGGATGACAAAATCGTGCCTTGAATCTGGTTTTCACAGGTGGGCAAATCTGGTAAGTCATTTATAATTTTCTTCGTACTGAAATCAAGAAGCTCCCGCAGAAACCGTGGAAAAACTGTGGCGTGTACGATCAGAACCCTATAGCTAAGGGTACTACTGAAAATGCATGCTAAAACCTAGTACTTTTAACCTCAAAAACGGACCTTGTTGGATTTTTTTAGTTTATCGAGGAATGCCTTGAACCTTTATCTAAAAGGAGGCAGGATCAACCCTTTTTCCTCAGATATTTAGTTCTATCCGTAAACGGGACACATTTTCGGGGTTGTTTCCGCAATGGCTTGAATTCGCGAAAAGTCGGTGTGGTAAATTTACTTCTGTTTCCCTTGACGTACAAATATATGTAGTCTAAACTAAAATATATGAAGTCTTGTGGGCCTGACAGACTCAAACAGAATAGTTTCCTAACGTTATGTACCATTGAGCCACCAATAAACGAGAAATTGGAAAAGCAAAGCGATAAACAAAAACTCCCATTACCTTCTAAACAATATGATGCAATAGGAGATTTTGTAAGTCTTTCTTTGTAATTTTTTTCATGCTTAAACGCACATTGTGTTTTTCATCCATCTATTTCAGGCGCCGTGAGCGAAGTCGTGACAGACGTCGGTCCCGCTCTCGTTCGCGCGATCGGAAGCGATCAAAAGAGCAATCTCGTCGGAGTCGCACGAGAAGTAAGAGTCGTTCTCGCTCGAGGTCACGAAGCGGCGATCGAATATTGCAAGCGACAAAAATGCACGACCCCGTAGCAACGGCATTGGCTATCCTCGCCCCGGTAACCATGCCCTCGTCTACCAATGCTGCTGGTCTGTCGGTGACAACGAACAGCGCCATACTTCAGCAGGTACCTTTACCGCCGGCTCCACCGAAAGAACCCGCGCACGTGCTTGAAGACTTCGGCTTGCTCGATAAAGGTTTGTAATGCTTCTGCTGATATCATCAGTACACAGGCATAACTACTAAATGCATTTACATAGGTGGATAATTAGAACCCTAGAATTATAGACCTTCCTCTATTCATTTGGCTGTCAGATTCGAAGCAGCAGAAGCTCGACGCCGAAATGAAGAAATTCCGTGAGCGTATTGAACGTGAGCGTGCTGAAAAGAAATTGAAGGAGGTCCACAAGTTGAAAGAGGACACTGATACCATCGAAATATTGGAACGGCAAAGCGAGGACGCCAAGACAAACGACAATAATGCCAAAGAGGGCTCCGATTCGGCAGAACCTGCACCACCGGCAAAGACCCCATATAAACCCCCTCCGGGACTGGCGCTTATTGATACCGATGAGGAGGATAATAATGATGACGGAGATGATGAGGACAGATCCAAGAAGAAGAAAAAAGAAACGAAAATGGAAGAAGATGACGATGACGATGATGGAGTCGACCCGTTAGACGCCTATATGGAGGAGGTGGTCAAAGAAGTATGCGTTTTATTATTATTAATATTATATTGTCTTTGTTGCATGTAGTATAAATTACCCTGCCATAATAAGTCCTTTTGAATTCATTTTTTTCATACATACCAATATTTATGACTATCGATCCTAGATTTTTGTTCGTAAATTTTAAGAATACATGTATAAAGTTCTGCGATATTATACTAAGATGTAGCCTGGGACGTAAAACAGTCCTCTCCGTGTCGCTGGCTATATGCTAAGTGCATTTAAGCTACCTAATCAGTAAAGATTAGGCATATTGAAGTCGACGATAAAATTCGTGGTAGTATAAGCCGACATACGTAATACGTTTCTTTGATAAAAAACGAATTCTTTTTGTGTTGCTTTGTTCATTGTTTGAGTCAGGTTCGTGCTATCACTAAAGCTGCTCCGAAACCACAGACGGCAACGAATAACCTGGTTCACGGCATCAAGGGAGGCCAAGCTGTAGTACTGACTGGCAAGCAAAAAGGGCGACCTAAAAGTGCTAGCGGTAATTCCGGAAAGGGTGATATAATGGAACAGAATGAAGATGGTCTGGAATATTCCGACGAGGGCGAACAAGAGGATCTACAGCAAGCAATGGATTCGTATTCCTCCGCCACGCTCGGAAAGGTAATAATTACCTTAGTATAACACATGTCATTTACTTGAGAGAATTTTTTTGTGTACTTTTTATGTCCAGGTATATGTTTGAAATGAGCAGCCTGAATTCACTCCTTATGGCATTACGAGGTCAACTCATTATTGATTCATTTTGTGGGTTGGTTTTTTTTGTCGATAGAATACTAAAAGTATTTATTCATTCGTAACTTATTTTTCCAGATCAAGAAACAAACAACTATCAGTTTAGATGATATAACGTATCAGCCATTTCGGAAAGATTTCTATATCGAAGTCCCTGAGCTTGCGCAAATGACCCAAGCTGAAGTGGAGGCTTTCCGAACAGAGATGGATGGTATTACGGTGTGTAGAGCCCAAAAATCAGATTAATATAAATATACATATCATACATTATACGATCATTGTCTGAGGCTTATCCGATATACTAGTAATACAATTTCGGTGAGCTTAAGCGTAATTTAGTGTTTTTTAGGTTAAAGGTAAGAACGTCCCAAAGCCCATCAAGGCCTGGCCCCAAGCTGGAATCAGCAAGAAAGTTTTAGATGTTTTGAAGAGGGCTAATTTTGATAAGCCAACACCTATTCAGGCCCAAACGTTACCCGCCATTATGTCCGGACGAGATCTTATTGCTATTGCAAAAACAGGTAAGTGAAATAAACTACTTTGAATTGCCTCTTTATACGCTTGAAACCTAGCCTACTACTTGCTTATTGTTAATATCATATTGCTTTAAGCTTACCCCATAAAAAAAGACATCGTGTTGAGTTAAACGCATTCATAAAAGTCTTTAGAAAGTTTAAAGAAAAATCAGTTTGAGAAAAAAAAATCTAATATCAGAGACATTTTTTCAAACTACCCAGAAGCTGTTCCGTTGCGCTCCTGGTATCTGCGATAGGTCATAGAGCTAATGTGAAAGTACCGTACCCGTTGATACTGGCACCTGTGTGCAAGTTCCTGTGTGGCAAGAAATACCTAACTCTTTAGTTGCACATAAACCTCCAAAGCTTAATATAAATTAATTTTGCACTCTTTGCGGTTGTCAGGTTCAGGAAAGACGCTAGCGTTCCTCTTGCCAATGTTTCGGCACATCCTGGATCAGCCGCCGCTCGAAGCTAACGATGGCCCGATAGCAGTGATTATGACTCCCACGAGAGAGCTGGCTATGCAAATCACAAAGGATTGCAAAAAGTTTACTAAGGCTTTAAATCTTCGCGTTGTATGCGTCTACGGTGGAACAGGTAAGCGATAAAAAGGAGATGTTTACTATTTGATACAGTTGAATAAATATAAAAATATACGGCTAGTCGGGTGAAAAGAGATAATTGTAAATGAAAACTAATAAAAATTCACTAACGTGGTACAAAAAAAATACTGTCTAATTTATTTTCTTAGGCATCTCGGAGCAGATAGCAGAATTGAAACGTGGTGCTGAGATTATAGTCTGCACACCGGGTCGCATGATCGACATGTTGGCCGCCAACAGCGGTCGCGTCACGAATATGCGCAGGTGCACGTACGTGGTGCTTGATGAAGCTGATCGTATGTTTGATATGGGTTTCGAGCCTCAAGTAAGGAATATTTCTAGAGTCAATAATCCTTCGAAAATTTCACGTTTTTTTATGTCCAGTAATAACTTATGTATGGACAGAAACAATTTTCTTTGCCACAACATATATCCGTTATAGGTGCAGTAATGTGTGTGACATTGAAGCTAGCATATTTATTTGCTAATAATTTAGAGATTTTTAAGATATGGTAGATAGAAGAGCTGTGCTATTGTTTTTAGTAACATGTCGATCACGAATTAAACTTACTCGTGATTTTATTGAATTTTCCACTTGGCAGGTTATGCGTATTATTGACAGCATTCGGCCAGATCGGCAAACGGTTATGTTCTCAGCGACCTTCCCCCGACAAATGGAAGCTTTAGCTAGGCGAATACTATTAAAGCCAATCGAAATACTTGTTGGCGGGAGATCAGTTGTCTGCAAGGAAGTCGAGCAGCACGTTCTTATTTTGAATGAGGAAGACAAATTCCTCAAGCTTCTTGAAATACTCGGCAAATACACATCTCAGGGTAGCGCAATTATCTTTGTCGACAAGCAAGAGCATGCTGACGCTTTACTCAAGGATCTCATGACTGCATCATACAATTGTTCGGTGCTCCATGGAGGAATCGATCAGTTTGATCGAGATTCGACGATCGTCGACTTCAAAAATGGCAAATTTAACGTTCTGGTCGCGACATCCGTTGCGGCCCGAGGCCTGGATGTGAAGCAGCTTGTTCTCGTAGTCAACTATGACTGTCCTAATCATTACGAAGATTACGTGCATCGCTGCGGCCGAACAGGCAGGGCAGGCAACAAGGGCTTTGCTTACACATTTATTGCACCTGACCAGGAGCGGTACACCGTAGACATTTTGAAGGCGCTTGAGTTGTCGGAAGCACCGGTACCAGACGAGCTTCAGAAGCTGTTCAATACTTATAAAGAGAAAATGGAAGCTGAGGGCAAGAAAGTCAAAGGGTCATCTGGTTTCTCAGGCAAAGGCTTCAAATTTGATGAGAGCGAGGCAAACTTTACTAGCGAAAAGAAAAAGTACCAGAAAGCCATGCTAGGTATGAACGATTCGGATGATGATGACGCGGAAGATTCGATTGATCAAGATATCGAGACGATGATGGCCCCGAAAAAACGTGTTACTGAGACAAAGGGTCCCGCAGGAGGACCGCCACCCCCTCTGCATGGCCAAACGCATCCATCAGCAGCGGAGGCAAGTGTTCCGCTGGTCCCATCGCAACCCATAATTCCTGCCGTCCTTCCAACAGATCCGTTGGAAAAGGCGAAGTTTTTGGCTAGACGCATTAATAAACAATTTTCCCAAGAGAACCGATCGGATGATCCTAATGGACCTCGTCCAGGAGGCGCCGCTCCTAACAGCAGTATTGCTGCTCAGATAGCTCGCAGTATCGCTGAACAGAGGTGAGTACAGTGAAATTTAATTTTTTTTCCTTATTTTCATGGCGAAATAGATTTCGAATGGGCAAATGCGTTTTACCTAGCCATAGGAACGGTAGCAATAATATTCGATATCTGCTAAATAAGTGGAAAAACGTGGACCTAAGATAGCGAAAAGCTAGCTACTACTACTACCAAAGATAATAGCTGGCGTTTTAAACGTTTTTCAGAGCGGAACGTCTGCACATCAAGCTTAACTATACGCCTAGTGGAGAATCAGATCCTTTGATTACCAGTGAACAAACAACATTCAGGAAGTATGAGGAGGAACTCGAAATCAACGACTTTCCACAGCAAGCAAGATGGAAGGTTAGTTGACGATTACTGTGTTGTAGTGTTACTAATGAGCACGGCTAGCGTTTTAGCTATATGTAGTGCCTCTCGAATTTTGATTCGAGAATTCGATTTCATGAGTCTAAGATGCATACATATGAAATCATATTAATGGTGCACTGAGAGGTAAACAGAAACGAGACGAGTCGGACATTGCAGCACTCTGCTACAATGCTAAATAAGACTAAAACACCACTCTGTCACCTTCAGGTAACGTCTAAAGAGGCTATCGCACAGATCGCCGAATACTCAGAGGCAGGATTGACCGTTCGTGGTACGTATTTCCCACCCGGCCGAGAACCACCGGAGGGCGAACGCAAACTGTTTATCGCGATCGAATCCCACGACGAAATGTCCGTCCAAAAGGCGAAGTCAGAGATAGTGCGTCTTATCAAAGAGGAGCTCGTCAAATTGCAGCATTCATCGTACCAGCCTATGAATAGAGGGCGCTACAAAGTCCTTTAAAAATGAAAGTTTTAAGCTCGTCAAGCTACGCGCTTGATGTGCTGATGTGGACCGTAGAAGCAAATCTTAAAAAGTCATCTTTTAACGTTACATTGATTATGTGTATTACCGAAAAGATGAACCTATTTCTTTTTCTGCAAAGAAAAGTCTGGCAGAATATAGCACGCGTATAAACTCTGATAGTATAGCGTATTTATACAGCGTTAAGTTAAGCATCGCGTTACTCGAAGCAAACATATTACAATGACACGTCGTCAAAAGAAAGTAATGTGAACAACACATATGTATTGTTCTGACGACTCGAAATTACTAAATGTACCTATGCACATAATAATTTCAATTAGTTATAATTAAAGTAGTTAATTATTTTACGCCGTTAGCGTTACAAGGCTGCTGCTTAAAAACTACGTACGAATTGTGAGGCTGTTATCTTTGTGTGATACTCAGTTCCGCATCAGCGTTAGGCAGCCAGCGGCGTGTATAAGATATCAAGACAGCTCTCATTGATTCTTTCAGGTAATATACGTTATCATATTTAATATTTAACCGAACCCATTTAACACAACAAGGCTGATAAGGAAATTCAGTAAATATTGATAATAAATTTCAATAAGGCATTGTTTCGAACACAATGAATTTACTATAAAAAAAACTTCTCCTTTATGTGCTTAATGTAGTACTTCAGCTAGATTAGCTGTATAGTGTTTTATGAACCTTCATTCAACCTCGATAGAATTTTCCTATGAGTATTAGTTTTCTAACTTGTAGTTCCTTGAACAAAACTTTTCAACTTACAACTGTCAAATTAACGCCTGGCTGCAGAAAGCAAACACTTAAACTTCGAAAATGCATTACTTGAGAGATCGTAATGAATTTAATTTAAAACGAAACGTCACGTGTATGGGCTAGCATTGGCCTCTTAACAATTCTATTAAAACATATTGTGCCACTTTAGCAGGGCAACACATTATTTTGTGAGAGCAGAAACGGGCATTGTAGAATATGTGCCACAGATTTCTGAAATAGTGTGCACAGGTAGACATAAGAAGGAATCTTGAAGACCGTGATCACTACCATCATAGTCTGATTTAAGAGCTATGTTTAAGATTCGATAGTACTCGGATGCACATACCGAACTGAGTTAAAAGTGAGCAATTATTATGCTGGCCTTTAATTTCTAATATTGCCATGTTATACAGGATATTGTCTATCGCCAAGATCAGGTAATGCTAAAGTCGTACTTTTACCTTTACAGAAATTGACTAGACATAAAACACATGAGTGTGTAGAGAACACATCGTTTTTCTTTCCCGCGAGGTGTGTACCTGTCTAGAATTTTTACGGCACGTGACAATTGATATTCTCATATACCTGTATTAAAGGTTAAAGCAATAAAGTCCAGAGTGCTCACTGTTCAATATAAGCTCGCTTTTATCAGTAGGAATTTGTCAGTTTATGGGAATAAGGTCTCTCTGCTTTCTTCTGTAGTTTTTTGCACCTATATTAAGCTATCAGTGTCTGTTTATTGGAAAAAGTACACCCTTTCGAGCGCGCTTTAAAAAGGTTTCATTCTCATTGAAACCTAAACTATAGCTTTTTAACTTAGAATTATAGATACTCTATTACGACAAAAATAAATCATGATCAGATCCGGTCGTACAATCTCACTAACTGCTACGCGTGTAACTGTACGCATATTTTATGGTTGACCGAAATTTTAATTAAATTACTATATTATCATTGCATATAACTACAGTTAGGAAAGTGACATCAGCATTAACAGGAATAGTTCGATGGAAAGGTAGATAGTTGTACTGGATGCGTCAGGCGTTACTAGAGTCTAAATAGCTTAAAGCGAAGAAATTTTTTATAGAAGTGGTTATTAGCATTCTAAATTACACTGTCTATACAAATCATGACTCCATTATGATTCCTATCTAACCCTAGCGAAAAGATTCAAGTGAAATATTAAAATGTCATGCCTTGTTGAGGTCACATTCGCCTATGCGATATATAAATCACGTAAACATCGGGCAATCCGTACCGCTGGGCAATCAAAAAGTCCTAAAATGTGAAAACACCGAAAAATTAACACAGGCCTTAGATATGGCCAATATAAGGTTTTCATAGATAATTTAACACTTGGTTTTGATATAATAGGCAAAATAAGGCAAAAAAAAAGGAAAAATAAAGTTCGGTTGTGTGTGTTCGATGTGCTACTAATCACTGCTGTTTCATCGCGTTTTGACCTGATGCATCACCATTATATGGCAGAACAAAAAAGGCTTGACAATATCTTAAAATTGTTCCAACACAATCCATTTCCAGAGAGAAAAATGATTTTAAAATAGTTTCTCATTGAATGATGAGAAACTATTTTGACATTGTAGTTCAGCTTTTTCCAACATGTTTCCCAGCTTGACAGACTAAACTGACAGACGAGAACGTGAAGGAAGGATCGATGACGATTGTCGCAAAACAACGAAACCGTAAAATGGGCAATCTGTGAACTTTTTTCGACCATAGTTCACTACAGGAATAAATATAGTGTTGGAAATGTGGTAGAAGCTGAAAGACCGACGTAATGCAATACAATCAATTGTATGCAATGCCTTGCGTTAGACTACATATTTTTACGTGACAACCTGTTGCCAAAATCCAAGAAGTATGTTTGCAAGAACTATCCCGTTGATCGACCAACCATCAACCAACAATCGAATTTTCTATTGGGAAGCAGAGTAACATTCTACTGGCATTCCATTTTTCCAACCATATACCTGGAATAAGACCGAAAACATGAAGTGTACGGTAAACCTGCCTTGCGATTTTACTTTGTCTCAGGCATGTACGAATCAAGCTGATTTCGTGCATTTCTATAATACTTTAGTAGATTTTACTCCGTATTTTCGGGTCGGATTGTACTAAAGAATCAAAAAGACTAAAAAAAAGCTGGATTCAAAACTTAGCTCATATTTTTGGTTGGGGCTTAGACTAAAGGCAGAGTATACAGTAAGATCATTCCGAATATATTAAGGATAAGGAGTAGATAGTCTTCAGTTTTTTCAAACGTAGCGGTTCAATGGGTTGATGTTATAAACATAAATAGTTTACTCTGGACACAGATTTAAACAAATAGCAAAAACGTACCATCTTTAATCCAACGTAAATCGATTTCGCGACCATTAGAAGCATACTATGAAATAAATTAATGTCTGGTTTTAATAATTAATAAAAAAAAAATGATAAGTAGTTGGTTTCGATATTTTATTATATTATTGCTTTTCAGGCGTTTACTACGGTAACCTGTGGATAAGCCCGCATAAGATTCCCTTTAAAACGAGTCATTCTCCTTTATGGCTTGGCCAAATATTCTGTATGTGAAACAAATAAGGTTCTGCCGTATATTTGCTGGTCACCAACTTTGTCGGGCAAATGCTTATAGCACCCCCGTCCGAGATGATACGTAAATAATAATCCGAATGAATTGCAACCAGGATCAAGTCACAGCGTTTTAAAACAAATATTGTTTATCATCTATTCACAACATTTGTTATTGAAATCAATGCTCAAATATAGTGTTTGAAAGAATGTATACACACTTCACTATATATATAAAATAGTTATTGCAAAAGAGACCACGTAAAATCTATAACTCTTACTTCTATTGCAGATACATGTTTAAAATAGTCACCGTTCTGATCAATATACTATTGGTAACGATCGGCTATCGATTCACAAACTTCAACAAACGATTGGCCAATAGCAGCTCCTAAAGCTTCAGTGTCGTCAGTTTCTTTCAAGCTACGTAAGAAAAACTCGAGGACAAATATCAGGCCCGGGGGACGGGCAGAGTGTCTCATAAGACATCTTTGTCCGGCCCATCTGTTTGGAATCTTCCAAACAAGAAACGCTTTTAGATAATAAGTAGGTTCTCCGCTTTATTGAACGAAATTTTGCTGTCCAACCAATATCTTCCAGAATGCGAGGTAAAACAGACTATTATAGCAAATTCAAGTATTTGGCATCAGTCCATACACTATCAAAAACGAGCGGTCTAATTCATCTTTTGTTTGAAATGCCCCACCACACTAACTCCAGGTAAATTATATAATATTTTCATATAACATGTGTATTTACTGTTTCTCAGTGACTGCAATCATATTGAGTAATTGCTATTTAATTTGAATGTAGATTCACCGTTTGAAACAATAGTTTTTGAAGACTGTGCATTCTCTACATATTTTACTGAGTACTATCCGCAAAATTTGTTTTCTTTGGTTTGGATCAATTTCACTGATAGCATGTGTACCATGTTGCAACTGCTACACATGCTATCAGTTTTTCCATTTACGATGTTCTAAATGTTACGGACCCAATTTTTCGATACCAGGCTCATGACTCGCTTGTTTTCCTTATTTGTGGAATGTTCCGCTGTAACTCTTCAGTGATCATTCTTGGCTGGTGAAACTCTGACCTTTTTGGATTTTCCATAGTTGTCTATAAACATTTTCAACCGTTCCATCAGTTTCAAACTTATCTTTGTTAGTCGCGTAGGGGAATCTGTTTGAAGTTTTTGTTGAAAAGTTAATTTTAGTCTACTTCTTATTTCCAACTAGTGACAATCTGAAAAATAAACAATTAGAAGATTATGACCCACTAAATTGTGTATGTATCTTTTGGGGTAGCCTGTATTACAAAAAAAGATACAGCGAATCATATCGAAGCAATTGGATTAACTGATCTGATTTGGCTAGATGCCAAAGAAGGTCGATAGATTAGATTAATAAAAAACCGTCTAATATCTCGAATCACGGTTCTAAAGAAGTTACTCATGTAGAAACTGGGTACACTAATTCCCAAGTGAAATCCTATAATTGTCTGAAATACTGAGAAAAAAAATGTAGATCTCAGCTTATCATATTTTGACTACATATGTATAGAGCGCATTCTCACGGTTATTGAGGTAGAAAGCGCTTTTATTTAGCGTGTTGATCAGCCATCCCTCATAAGTAATCAACCTCCGCCCTTCTAATAAGACAACGTGTTTTTGTATGCGTTTTTAAAAAAGCACGTCTTAGGCATCACGAACTGAACTCAAGGTATGTTGTGAAGTTTTATTTACGGAAAGTTGTTTTTGAAATTTATAATACCAGTAAATAGGTAAGATGGTCTTAATTATTATAGCTGATGGCGTAGGTTGGTGGTAGATTTTTAACGTATTCTATAAGAAACAGGTGATGTATTCGTTTTGTTGTGTATCCCAGTATGTACCAGGAGTATCTTCTTTTATTTAAATTTCCTCCTAATATATATATATATATATATATATATATATATATGTATATATATATATATACTTTGTTTTCGTCTTTTATTAACAGAATGTACAAACATCATTTTTGATAGGTAACAATTTAAAAAGCTATCTTTGTATACGTTGAACACGAGCTACGATTCTAACTACTGCGGGAGCTCCACAGCTGTTCACAATTCAAAGTGTGGCGGGCAGATATTGTACTTTAAACCATACACAAGGTTCCTTTGTCACATACGTAACATAATTTTAATATTACTTAACACTTAACACGGATTTTGCATTTGTAGCGCATGGCATTTTCAGTTGACATTAACATCATTATCACATTATCAGTGTATTCTGTCAAGTGAGGTTAAGTAACCTTTGAAGTTAAGTTAACGATTAGAGCCACATCAGTATGTAGCTATGCGAGGACAACACCAACTCTTAACATAAAAAATCGATTAACAACTTGTTAACTTATCGCAATTTTTAAGTCTACGACAGGCCGTGTCGTCCACGAAATCATAACTTTAAAAGATGGATTGCCAAGACAGTAACAACAGTCACACCTAAACTTATGAACCCACATATTTTGACCCTATTAAGTTTTTGCTTTATATTTACTACGATCTCTATGCGATCATTTTTGTGGACTTGTTCCTATACAAAAGGCCTCGAGTGCACTTCTGCGAAGAACAGTCAGAAGAACGATACGAGTAATAATTATAAGGATGCCCAGCTACAGGCACATTAAAATATTGTGAAAAAAAATAACCAGCAATAATCCTAGAATACCAGACAAAAAAAAATGACCAGTGCTTGGAGCACATGGTACTGCAAAAATACACAAAATATCAGGTTATTTTACGATTTGGCTGTCAGGTGTTAACTACAACTTGTCCGACCTTCGCAATTTGCCCCATGCTTTAATTGTCTCGATTTTGTGCAAACATCAACGAGCAAATGCGAAACTGAAAGGAATCATCTGGCTAATAAGAGTCCCAGCAAAATGTAGGGTCTCAAAGAAAAGAGACGATTGTGAGCGTTTAGTGGCATGTATTATCAGCTACAAGTATTTTATAAAATCGCCTTTTTTGACGCGAAACAAATCATACACAAGTCACCACTTATTTTTAGTACAGTTTTACGTCAGCCTAATCTAACGTAACCTAACCTTTCTGAGAAATTAAATTCATTAAAATGTCGCTTATCATTGGTATAATTATTTGCTTATATCAGAAAATCTGTACAATACACGGCAGCAACAAGGGATTTTATACTACTGTTAGTTATATATACGTGGGACATAATCTATTAGGCTACCGTAGAATTCATATATATTTATACAAACATGCGTAAAAGTTTTTCAGATGCGAAGATCAGATACCGTAAGCCGAACGTTACGGAATATCCAATCAATTTCTTTTTCTTGATTTACGAGGCCAGATGTAAGTTAGAAGACATGTACATGAAATGACTAGGTCGTACTACAACTAGGTATCAAGGACAAAATGAAAGCCACATCTCTTGTGGCGTGGATTCGTATAGAGGAGGATTTCGGTCACCAATATACACGTCTAATTGAGCTATTCCTAAACGGCCTAAATGAACTCGATACCCTCGTACTTAACATTTCCAATTTTAGTTTCGGGAAAAATAATTTGTCCGTCGGCAACGTTGAATACGGTGATGTACGTAGCAGCCTTGCCTTTCACCTCCTCAGATTTGATAGCGACAGCCACAGTGTCTTGTGTTTCTGCAAGTGACACACATTAATGTTGTTTTCCTTCACTCATGCCCATTATGTAGGTCCGCGGTGAAAGGATGAAGCAAACCGTTGCTCAAAGTGGCGAGCAATCCTACATACTAATGTCGTTTGAAACATACGATCTTGCCAATTCAAATAAATACGTTATGAAAAACTAGATATGTATGAAGTGACCTTGGTTAATTGGTACTCAGCCTACAATTTTATCTAAATTAAAGCTAGTATGCTTAAAACGATTTCTTACCGGGTATAAACTTGAAAGACGAGAATCCATGTGATTCGATTTTGGGTCCGACTTTTTGCAAGGTGATTCGCTGGAAATCCTGTGACGCGCGAAGCAGCAAATTTGTTCCGCGTATTTCATCCTTCAGATCATCATAAGCCTCGTGGGAAGCCCGTCGCGGTAAGAAGAACCATTGCTGATGCACGGGAGACCAGTTAACCGCTAGAGTCCAATTCGGTAAAGAACCATATGAAGGGAATCTCCGAGTTAATAATGCGATACGTAGTTGGGCCTAGCGTGTACCGAACAGACACAGCAGACTTATACTGGCTTGGTAATTTTCGATATAATTTATTCGATGCATAAAATTCTCTCAATTCTACTGACCTCGGACTACACTTTGAATGTACGAGTACCATTTCGAAACACCAATACTAATCGAACGGTAATATATACGCGAAATCAAACAGAGATAGAATAAGTAAGTTGGTTTGATAAAACGAATAATGTAAGATAAGAGCTCACCTTCATGAATCATGTATCCCGGAGGCTCAATATTCGCTGCCGCGCAAAGGCTAAGATAATTGTCCCGCCATTCCCTATGTACGACCCTACCACCAGGTGTTACTACCTTGATCCATTGCGGATCATATGATATAATTGCGCCGTTCGAATTCGTCCATTCCTTACCTGTAATCAAAAAAGAATATGACTATTGGACTTGAAAAGCTATATGTCATTACGGTCCAAAAGGGACGTGGCACAACATCAAAACAGTTTCATCTTACGCCCCATACTAAAAAGTCTTGTTTTTATAATGCATAACATCTTAATCGTATTATTCTATACGTATTGCATTTACATCGAAAATATCCAAATGTAGCCTTACAGTACGTGCAAGAATAAAGTTGCAAGCAGCATAGAATGTAGCATGGAACGACATTGCAAACTTTGTTAGCATCGTCAGAAATCAACAAATTACTTCATATAATTTTCACGTCTTATGGTTATTCTTTAACTACAAATGTGTCGTATGGCCCTTTATTTAACCTCGCTCTCTCAAAACAATTTTGAAGCTAATAGCGATTTCGTTTCGAAACAAACCTTTTTCGGGTCATCGGTTGAAATCGTTCCAATGAGTTTTACTGCATTTAGTAACCTTTCTGAAGACCGTAATGCTATGATTTGACTTTAAGTTAATTTAGCGTCTTCAAAAATCTATATGACCTGTTAATGTTAAAAAAACACTGAAAAAAGCTTAAAAAGAATAGAAAATCTACTAACAGCCGATACTCACCAAGCCCGCCAACGTATAACAAGCCATCTTTAACGGTAGCCCACTCAGACTTGAAGCCTTTAGTTGCATGGCCGTCTCCGTCGTTTAGTAGCACCCATGGAATTACCTTATTATACAATTAAAGATAAAAATAAAACAAGAAAAAATACGACAGTTAATGCAGATATTGGCAAATTGTATTGTCGGCAAACTCGAACTTCTACAAAGTTCAACCAGTTGCTTAAGTTATACGGGCAAAAATCAGATATGGTCACGCATTCCTGTTGACTTACCCTCTCGTCTTCTATCCGGTAAATAACACCCGTCCGATCATCAAACGATAGTAATTTCCCATCAAAAATGACCAGTTCAGATAGTTCCATACCCCGACCGCCCTGTGACAAACTCCCCTGTAAACAAGTAATATACGAAAATTCTTTGCCAGTTTGCTACAATTAATTTCGATTTTTCTCTTTCTCATATATATACATATACATATATATTTCCTGTACAATGCAGTGTATTCGCTCGATACCACATGATTATATAGCAATAGCAAATTAAATATACTATTGATATCGTTTAAGTTGATGAAGCAGACGAATAAGCAGACGATTTTTACCTTGAGCGTAAGTTCCGATGAATCCCATTCAATTTCGACGAGTTTATATTTCCGATCGTATACTAACCATCCTGTTTTGAGTTTAGAGATCCACGCATTATCGACTAGTTTCGATTCCTTGTCCATGTCAGCTACTACGGCAATTCGGTACTTCAGTTTGTTATCGGCTCTATCGAGTGACTGAAATGGGATGCATCGAAAACCAACACAATATAGCTTTCTCTAGTTCTAGCCGATTCCTAAAGTATGCAACTTCGGTCCACTTTTTTTTTGAACGCAAGTCTAGTTATTCTACGTGTCGCTCGAACTATTTTCAAATGGATCGAACACGTAAATTATTTCTGGAGAATTTTACATTTATTTTACCCATATTTTTCAATAGTCGAATTTGTTTCAACAAATCTATATGCTAAATAATTAATTTTACAATCTACTGTACAGATTCACCCGTACTAGCACAGGCAAAGGCAGGTAGGCAAGCTAACAAATAATAGCATTGGCTGTTAAACAAGCAAGCTGTCATTTCGATCGCAGTTGTTCACGGATCTGTGTCAATTTACCAACTTCACGAAGTTCTCTTCTTGCTTGCTGTAACTTTACGCCCAGAGTCTAATTAAATAGACATTAATTCAACGATCCCACTACTCAAATTCTGTTCTTCGAAACAATACAATGGCACAGTGAATATAAATGTAGATGTATTCGGACTAGAAGCAGAATGTTTGTAACGAAAATTCAAGTTTATGTTTTACTGGCCACGCGCTATGCAGTGCTAGCAGTAAGCTATGCAATGTTTCCGTTACTGCTGTACCGTTCATATAGGCGCTGCATATCATAAGCCATTTATATTACTTGAGTTTTCATAATCTGGTCTTGTGTTAAACCTAAGTCTAGATTTAGATCACAAAGCTATTGTTGTTAAAAAGAGCTATGATTTGTGCGAATAAAAATATGTGGAAACGTTATAGATAGTATTTTTGGTAAAGCACATTGACTTTCATAATAATCGCTACAGATAAAGCCAATACGAAAATGCTGGAACGACTAAGCAGAATGAAGAGAAGCGCTATTTTACAATATTTTTTGAAAGACTGTTTCCGTTATTTACCAAATTATTTAGAAGTATGTGTCGTTGGTGGCATGCGTGGCAGTGTCAACTCCAAACCGCTTTCGACTAGAAGCTTGGCCGTCTGAGCTACGGCTTGATTATAGGTAATGTTGTTTTTATAGAACTCATTGTGAAATGCTATTGTGAAGCTTTTATTTGTCAATTATGTTCTTAAATTTAATGATACTGATTAGAAAAAATCGAATTAAACATGTTTAGTACTCACGATTGGCCTTGTAAGTGGATATGTTGCATTGTAGTTCGCGGGTTCTTCAAGGAGACTCTGATAATGCGTATGGTCGTCGAAGAGTGACATTCCCTTCGGTAATAACGTGTAGAATATGAGCAGAGTAATCGTGCCGAGCACAATGATCGTAAGCGTGAAATTGGTCTGGCATCGCACTGTCGAGTTGCCAATCCGGAAGTTGGTCCTAGTTCTAATGGCCTGAAGCCAATCGCGGGAAGTGCTACTCGATCCTGTCACCAAGGGGTTAAACTCGGGCAAAAGGGACCTCGATGACATCGTTGTTGTTCTTTCGAGTATCAGCTAAGCTGATTAGTGCGGGATCCGACCACGCCAGGCTGCCGGCGATCCCTTCGCGTGTCAGGTAGGACTCGGCTGTACAGGCGTGCGTACCTAGCCGCACTGTTCACAGTTACCTAACGCATGGGCCGAATGGCACCTTATTTGATCACTTTAACACCTGGCGACTCATTTCCCCGCTTCGAACGCACCACGCACAGTGACACAAACAGTAGTACTCCCGCCTTGAAGGCACTCGCAGGGAACGACGACGCGGACAACACACGCTGTTTGACGGTTACTTTGTTAAGCGAGCCTCTCGGCAATGAGCGTTACAGGCGGGAGCTGCACTTCGTTGCACAAGTGTCGATGCTACAGTTCTGTCACAGACAGAATTCTACCCGTCACAGGACCAGCTGGCGTTTTCACAGATCTGCCAAAATTGCCCCTCTAAGTCACCAACTTGCCCAGCTATCTGTATGCTGCCTACAAATTCGGTTATTGACCGCCTATTGGTCTCGTTAGATGACTCGAGCTATCACAACCGTACGCACAACTGATAAGTGCAAGGCAGAATGAAAAAGAATCATTGGCCTAAGCTAAACAGCACCAACATCACGACCAAACAACATATTGCACAGCATAGCAGATACGACGATTTCACAAGTGCGGTCCCGTGATTGAAGGAACGGGCCGTTTTACAAGGATTGAAATTTCAAGAATAAGCGCTATCATTCGGCTAGGACGCTTTCTCAATGAACAGAGATTATCTACAGAAAGCGCCAATAAAGAATAAAAGCCATATCGGTCGATGTTAGATTTCCCCTGTTTTTGTTTTGGCAAATCTCTCCACCACGACTGCTCGTTCGTAGCTCCCTACTATGAGCAACGTTCAATCAACGTTGAATCGAACGTTGCTGACAGCAAGGAGGCCGCCATCTTGGTTCGGAATGATGACGTCTACCTCTGGTGCGCGAACATCTATGTTTAAATTTTGTTTTGGCGCGAAAAAATTGGTTTAAATATTGACTAGAGCAAAGATTTCGTTCATTGCACACCATAATCAAATTGTGACGTCGAATTTCGTCAATGGCATCATTGTTTTTTCTATTTTCTAATGGCTAACTATGTAATCGTGTCACATGTCATTCCATGTAATTCAAACAACAATGTGGTATTACAGGATAGTATGTAGTTAAAAATCCTACAGATTTACGCTGCTGTGTCATTTAATCACGCCTGTATAAAAATCATGTATGCGCATATTAGCGAGGAAGCACGTTACCTTAATCCCTCTATTGGTTAACGCTTTGGACGTCGCTTTTGCATAAGACAGCGTGTACTTTTGTCGACACAGAACCGAAATACGTGTTCCACTGAATTGGGGAAGCTATGCCAGATATTACCAAGGAAGGCCACTGAATCAATTCCTCTTTCTTATTTAAATGGATAAGGTTATGAACCCGACTCGATGGCTCATAGTATAAATTCTTCAGAATCGAAATTGATTGCGGTTTATCAAAATTTTTTCTTATCAACGTCGTGTAACAGGATTACAGTAAGTACTTTATTACGAGACCTACAAACAACGTAGATGATACGATGATATGGATCAAAATATCACCATGAGTTCAAGTAATCGCCGTAGTTAACTTTAGACATACTTGCATGCGTATTTTTTACTAAATACGATTTAGCAACAAGCGCATTAGTGCATACTGAAGCAGCAAAGGAGTTGTACAATATCAATTCACGTAGTAGTTGTAAGGTAGCATATTGTTTTCACGCACTAATTAGAATAAGCACTTGCAATAGTCGTTCAGGTCGCTGTTATTGTTATTAACAGCAATTATTATCAAATAGCAAATAACAAAAAAGCGCCACTTCATGTAAACGTTTGTATCTACGCTGGTCATTGTCCGTATAATTCGGTTGGCTATAGGACTCCTTCTGAATGAAAACTCAAGGAAAAGTCATCAAAAACAAATGGTGGAAATATTGTGCGCTGCAATGGCGCACGGGATTAACTAGATGCGTATACAACTTAGGTATAGATAACAAAGAGGGTTCCGATAATGATCACTGAAGCATCCTTAGACTTTTAATCAACTGTTTAACTAGCCCTACCGATCCCTAGACGCCTGGACGGAGAGTACTATGCGCTAGATTATAATAGTCTTAGCTATTTTGGGAGGTAAACATTGCTGTGTTTTCTCACCAAAACCAAAATTATCATCATAAAAGTAATGCTTATTTATTAAGCATAAGGGATTCATGTATATGGCACAAATTTGCGTAGGAGGAAATACATTGGTTTGCCCATTAATTGCTATCGATCATCTTCGTGGATACGACAGTTTCCAATCTGACTGGTTTGGAAATTTGCTGCTGATCGTTCTCTATACGTTGTATATGCATTACTACAAGTGATTCTCTGTGTTGTCCTACTTTCTTTATGAGCAGGCCATTCATTTAATATATAGGCGCCCTGTCATAATTAATTGTTTAATGATTCATGCCTATGCAAAGTAACAGAGCATGCTGCTTTATGCCGAGAGAGCCGCATTTAAACAAATACTTAAAGTCAAAGTGTGTACTAAGTTTATTGCTCCGATTATAAATGCAACTCGTAGAGACACTGTCGATGTCATTTTAAGTGTGTGAGAGCCATAAATGTAATAGTTTTTAACTAAATATCTTGAGCATTGTTTCTTATTATGATGTTTAAAATGCTACGCTCGAAAGCAGGCAAAGTAGATAAAAATATCTAATGAAGACAATGTCTAATAGAACTAACTTACCATATATATTCTCATTACGGTCCCCTAGAGCTATGACGTGCGTACTATAACATGCAGAGATAAATATGTACTAAAATCATGTGTGATCAGTGTTCTTCCATGAAAACCTTTTGCATAGAACATAAAAATCACTGTGAAGCAAAAGTGACATTTGCATTTCGTGTTCATGCAAATAAAAAATCATCTAGAGATAGCATTACAGTAACCCCATAATGAGTGCGGTTTATAAGCGATGAGACATGTTGCCGCGGGTATAACGCTAAATAGCCATCATTCTTAAAATATACGCAAAGCACATATACGGACCTTGTATAGGCATATCTTCGCGATGATTTGCCCTTTAAGTAGCTGAGCGGATTTCGAATTATTGCCGTGTTTACTTACTAAACTTATGAACGCTTGAGGCGGGCCAGATTCAAGAGCAACTCTGGACACACAACACTTCGACGTCCGACTGTCTGAGGCAGTGCCGTACGTAGAACTTGAAACACTGATTCAGAGTTGATATGTAATCAGTTATACTAAGGTTCCTTAGCATAACTGATTACAGATCCTTCTCCAGCACAAGGACCAGTCATCAAGCCAACTAGTCAGAGGCGCGGGGTTGAAACGCGCCGCGTATCATGTATATTGTCATCCAGAAAAAGTCATATAGGAGTTGTCAGCTGAAACGAAGTTTGAAGGTCAGAAGTTTTGACAGATTTAGAAACGGTTTGACAGTGAAGCGTCGTAAAAGGAGAAACTATAAACGTACATAATGTGAAAACGAGTACAATATATTCTCAAAGAAGAAAGATATTTAAAAGTAGATTGTGTGTAATATCCAAGTAATAACATGGCTTGAAAACGACCCGACAGAATCCCACGGCTTCATTCGATGTCTATATTTAGCTGAGTAGATTATAACAACTACAACAACAATGCCCCTCTACTGTTTCCAGCTTTATGACATTATTTTTAAATCCTACTTATACGTATTTCACTAATACCTTTGGCAAAACAACACATTCAAGAAAACCCTTACAAACTCCTAGAACAACTAACGCCACCCCTAAATTAAAAGCGCTTAACGAGATTCGCTAAAAAAAAAAACGAAAAATTATATTACTTATCGTGATGAGCCGTAATAGTTTGAATTTGAAATGCTTCATCGCGGTGCAATACAACGTATAGTAAGTTTTGATCCATCGCTTAAGTGACTACTATTGCTGAAGGGAAAAGCTTTACAAGTTCATCTGATACCATGTTAAGCATCTTTAGGCCAAATGTCTTTGCCTAGCAGAAATTCGCCATAGAATTATTGAAGAAGCAAATTGATTCGTTACGTAAAAGGTCTCACAATCATTTTGTTCACTGTTCCTATTTTCATAAGTAAATTTCCCTTGGCGTCATTGTGGTCTCTCGTTTCGCATGTACCGGTTGACGTACTTTGAGTGGAGCGTAGTAAATTTGCACTCTTATTGTAACTAATGTCCGTATAGTGACGTTGAACGTTATCTACCTGACTGTTCTTAATTTACGTAACTATAATAGATCGATTCATCTTGCAATATACAAAAATCACTTCACAAAGGACTTCAAAATCTATTATATCGACCCAACGTTATGCCGTTTTGTTCTTCGATTTGAGACGTAGTACATTGGGCTGCCTTGAACGAAACCTATCGTTTAATATTATCGCTTCCGTTTTTCGACGTGTGAAATTTATGATATATATATA